TTTAAAAAATATATCTATTTGGTGCCTGTTCTGTAATAACATAACTATCAAGTATCTCAGGTATATACTTGATGGTTATTTCAGAACAAGCATCAAATATGTATTATTTGATGGTTTTTTTAAAACAATTATCAAGAATTGTGTTTTAAAATTAGATTCGTTAATTGTTTTGTTCTCGCTCTAGACACACCTAAACCTCTTGAAAACCCTTCAGACCATTGCGAAAACATATTGTCAACAATCTAATCATGATTTTGCACTATATCGACATTGGGTTCATGATTATTGTGCTCATTTGCTATGGTGTACATCGAATGTGTTCACTCTCATGCCCTCCTCTCTCATGTTTTCTGTGTTCTCACAACCCTTGAGGTTGGTTGTTTGATTTTTCCATCATCAATCCTTCTTTTGAGTTCTTCATTAGGAGATGTTAATGATTTCGTTTTTAGGTGATTTTTAATTTTGATATTCTGAGTTAAAGAATCTTCCTATTATTTTTTAAGTTAATTTGAATATTTCCGGTGGTGTTGCATGCATTCCCTTACTCTCTTATTAGTGTTTCCTATTGCCATATAGACAGTTTGTGTTGCTATCGCTAAATGATTTTTAACTGAGATGGTTTGATGAAATAAATAGCTGATTTATGGTTGTCTTATTTTCTTTATAATAAAGAGTTCACAAGGTACCTGATAAGCATTGTTTTTGTATCATTGTGATATTTTGATTAGTAAGATTGTGGTTAGATTAAAATGTCTTTGCTTTCTCAAAGTGCTTCCATTCTGAAAGCTTAGGGGAAAACTTGAGCTATGTGAGTTTTGATGTTGAATTCGCTTTGGATATGATGTCGTTTTGACTGAATCTAGTGTTATTATATATTGGATTTAATTTTCTGTAACTTAAAGTCCTGATGATTAGTATTGTTGCATATTTTGCTATTATGTGATGTTAAAACATAGGACTGAATTGCAATAATTTTGAACTGAGTATTGTTGATGTTTGGTTTTGGTCATTCAAAGGAATTAAAATTGTTGGTGGTCAGTTCTATTTTTATTAAAAATGGGAACAAAATGGGGGAGGTTGGAATGTTAAAAATTCGTATTCTCCCTTAATCTATCCACGACTCTTTACTTTTTTAGTTTTTTGTCATCTGGCAGGCTAGGTAAGGAAAGTGCCAGCCTGCCACTTGCTAACTTTAGTATCAATATATCTGTAAAATAAAAACCTTGCTTTTTTCTGAAATTGTGATATTGTCATAAAGTTTTTCATGTCTAAATATTTTCTTTGTAATCGCAAACTGTAATAACCCTAAAAAGATAATAATATAAAATTAATTAATTAATTAATAATATTAAAAATTAATAACAAAATATATTTCGATTGTATTTCTATATAAATTTTAGAGTAGTTATAATAAATTAAACTGGTAGCTTGATAAAAAATTTCCCTAGTCTTTATTTATTGATTTAAAAAGTAAATATTTTATTTTGTTCGTATTGCAAAATTACTGGAAAAAAAAAAACAGCTCTGAAACATATATATATAGATGCACTCACACTCCAGTCTCTCCTTCATATCCATTGTCCATTTTTGTGGAACCCAGTGGCGCGCAGAGAGAGAGAGAGAAAGAGAGAGCTCCGATCACACCTGTATTCTCCCGCCTCCCTTCTCCGTCTTCAGCCGCTGCCAGTGTGGTTGCAAGTGGCCGTTCGTCTGCAGCAGGGAGTTCTGTCAAGGTCCCAGATTTTCTCCTCCCCTGCATTGCTGTCGGGCCTTCTTCTTCCTCCTCCTTCTGCATCGCAGGCCTCTTCCTTCTTCCTTAGATGCTACGTTGTGCTGTGCTGGTGTTGTGGAGGGAGCTTCAACTTCTTCCCGTTGTTTATTTTCTTCGTGCAGCTCGCCAAGGTCTCTCCCTATTCTGCGTCGTCCCTGTTTCTGTGGTGCACTGACTCCTTCCCCTTCTATTTCTTCACTGTCGCTGAACTGATTAAAAAGAGCTTTGAATTTTTCTTCGTGCTCCATCATGATTGGTTTGAGGTGAGGATTCAAATTTTTTTCTCTTCACTTTATGGAATTTCTAAGTCTGACAATGGGACATCGTGGTTTCTTTTTGACTCCTGGAATTATGTAATGTTTGGGAGTTTTGAATCCAAGGTGCGCGCGCGCTATAATGATTGAGGCTGTACAATTTTCCTTGCCTTGTGCTGCTGTCTGTGTTGAGTATGAAGGGGAAATTGGTTTGAGTTGAAACTTTTAGTATAAAGAACAAAAAAATGATGATGTCGTTTTGAATTTATTTGAAGTTGGACTGATTATTGATGCTGATAAATTATTGGGCTAGTGATTGAGGTTAGGAAGCTCCATTGAATGAATTAGAAATTGATGTCTATGTTTGTTGAAAGGCCTATGAGAGGATTTTTTTTTTCTCTATTTAATAATTTAGCAATGGCCAAAGATATGTGGGAAAGCTTCGTGATACAAACAATGATGTTTGAAAAATTTTGAATTGTTGGAATCAACTATGTTGTGTTAGAAGGAAGTTTATTGAACTTGTAAATGTTTAATAAAATCTTATTAAATATTATAAGATGGTAAGAGAAGAAAACTTGGTAAGATGCTTGTTAGAGGAATTTAACATATAAAGGCAAGATGCTTGTGATGATTGTATTATTGTTAGTTAAATTATTATAGTAGACACTTTATAAAGGAAGCTGAGTTTGAAATTAGGAATATTGGGAATATGTTTCATAATTGGTAATTCATAAGCTATATTACTATTAATATGTTAGTCTTTAGAATTTCTATTAAATAATGGATATAATGGAAAAAAAATTGTTGGAGTTAAAATTTATCTATCTTTCTTTGTTGAATTAAATTGGACTATAGATATTGGGTTGTAAAGTGTATTTAGGAAAAATGACTATAGTATTATTTGGACACTAGAAGATTAAAGACTAAGTATCATTGCAAGAAGATTAAATTGGAAGCAAATTATATTTTGAAACCCTTCAAGTAAGTAAATATTATCCTAGCTAACTTGTCAATAAAAGTCTTTCATTGAAATTATTACATTTTTTGGCATATTATTCTTATTAACAACTATGATAAATATTAGTTACCTTGTTAATTAAATTATGATTTGTGTTAGTACTTTTCTTAAGAGATATACTTAAAAGATTTATGAAAATGATTTTACAAATTTTAGTGTTCCTTTATTCGATAAAGATAATTATGAAAATTGGTGAAAGAGTTTATGAGATATTAGTTATGAATTTTTACACTTAGAAATTGATTAGTTTAAATTGATTCATGCGAGTTTGGTATTAAGAAGAGGATTTTATATTTTGAAAAGTGATTATTTTCTCGTATGTTTGAAAAAAAATTTGATAGAGATTTTATACAGAATATTGGTTGCTAATAGCAGCTTCGTTAGCCTTTAGCGTGCCTTGGTCAATGACTATCTAGTTTGATTTTTGTGGGCTCTGTTCTCACGTTTGTTATTTCATGGGCCTTGTACTTGCATTTGTTTCGTGGCTTTAACCCCGTTTGGTTAGCATTATCCTCGTGGACTGTGTGTTCACATTTATTTCATGGCTTTGGTCACGTTTGGTTAGCATTACCTTCATGGACTGTATTTCCACGTTTGTTTCGTAGCATTGGCTGCGTTTGGTTACTTACCCTTGTGGATTATGTGTCTACATTTGTTTTCATGGCATAAGTCGAGTTCAATTATTTACTCTTGTGAACTGTATGTTTACATTTGTTACCTATTCTGTTAAATCCTCAAAATTTTAAATTTTTATTAACCTCGGTGTTTGAAATTCCATTGCTTTCAATTAGTAAGTGCACTACTTGATTTACATATGAGTAATTTGTTTTCTTCAAGCATGATAAAACAATTTCAACCCACTCTCAATTTATGGTTATGATTATGATTTACAGATTTATTAAGTTTATTATATTGAATTATCATCTTTTCAATTGTTTTACATAATTGTTTGAGTTTATTATTTTTATTCTTTTAAATTTCATTTTTTAGGGATACTATTCATTGAAAAATATTTTGGTCTTAGATTCATTAGTTAATGCTGAATCTCCTATGAATCATTGAATAGTTTATCACTGACTAGGAAGCAGAGGAACTGTAAATTAAGCTTCCTTTTGACGTAAAAATTGAATTGTAAAATTGTATTCTGTAAATTAAATTCTAAGAGCTCCATATAGGCTATAGTTAGGGTCTTTATTTTGATATATATTTCTTTTGCTAGTTGAAAAGAGCTAAGCTCTTACTTGTTATGATATTTGTTTGAGAATTTGTGTTGTAGAAATTTAGGAGATCTTATGTAAGTGAGAGATTTTGCCAGAATTTCCATAAAAATATTAAGGCTTTGTTTTAAATGAAAAAGAATTTTCATAAAAAAATAAATTAAAAATTTTTTTGAATTAGACTTAAGGGATGTGTTTAGGTGGATATTTCATGTCGGTCATTCTCATATTTTGGAGCGTGACACAAACCTAAAAAGAATCATGCATTTAAGGTAAAAGGTTACCTTATGACCTTTCGAAAAATTAGACATATTTTTCTTCGTTCTTAATCTCAAGGTAACAGGATAATATTAATCTTTAGTATTCCGCCTTCCCCTTATATACTCTAATAAGAAGCCAAATCACTATAAAAGATCATATCTAAGACTTCTCTTTGAACCAGAAAATATTTATTAAAGGTTCTAGTAGGATTAATGATCCAAAACCTGTTGCAAAAGTCTTAAGGTAACCTTATCAAATGAATTATATAGGAAGTAATGCCAGTAAAATAAAAATATTGGCTGTGAATGATGAAACAACCCTAGTGAATACGAGTGAAGAATATGACTTACGGATGGCAAGTGGAGAAAGTTTAATTTATTAATTACCATTATATAATAAATATATATAAGGCAAGAAAACAACATTAAAATTATACCAACATCTGATGCAATGTTAGAGAAGTTCTGATCCCAATATTAAAATGAACCTGACAATAGTGCGTTGAGGTCTCCAAGATCCATGTATTCATAGATCAATGCTTTGACATCGTTTTCATCACAAAACCCAACAAGTGAAACCAAGTTTCTATGATGGATGACTGTTAAGAGTTGAGCCTACAAGTTGAATGTTAGCTACATCATTAATTATTAAAAAGAAAGTCCACCCAACATGAACATGTTCAATATTGAGTGATTAAAAAAATTGAAAACTATTATTTGTCTTTTATTTCTAACCTCTAATTGAAATTCCTCATACCCTTGCCTTGAAGATGGAGAAAGTAACTTAACAGCAACATGTGTATCATCACTTAAAGTGCCGAGGTAAACTTTCCCAAACCTTCCTTCTCCAATAGTAGTTTCGAAATTGTTTGTGATACATAGAACCTCAGAGCAAGAAAAAGCTTGATTTTTTGGTTTTAGAATTTCCATCCTTTTCGGAGATTCAGTAGACAAAACTGCATTGGTAAATGAATGTCTTGACAGTTCATGAATCCATAAATTAAACAAAGAGATTAACATGTTTGGTGCAAGAGATGATAACAAATGGAGGGCACAACATTTCCAACGAAATGTCAACATATATAGGTAAAAAGCAATACCTCTTTGCTTTCTAAATCTCCAGGTCACCAAAGAAACAAGGACAGTAACCATGACCAAAGCTGAAACTGATTCAATAAGTGGAATTAACAACTTATGTCCTTTGCAGGAATTTGTCTGACAAAGGCCTGGATTATTAGCCACTCTGGTAAAAATAGAGCAGGGGTTAGACTTGAGCATATCGGTATAACACTTAATAAACTGTAGGTTCTCCGTGATTTGCTAACATACAATATAATGTGTTTTTATAAATTTTAAGCCGAACTCAAGAGGACTAAATAAAAGAGAAGTTGATAATAGAGACAAGTAAACCTTAGCTCCAAATTGGCTTTCTCCCTAAAAGCCTTAGGAATTGAACCTGTGAGCGTGTTTCCTGACACATCACTGCAGGATGGAAAAGGGAGGGGGGAAACAAAAATGACAATTGTGAGGTGCACGACTTTTTAATATGAAGCATGAAAATTGTGATGCAATATAATAGTAGGATCTTACATGAATCTCAAATTAGGAAGAGTTGCCAGAAATTAAATTCTGGTAGTGGCCCGATCAATTCATTTTTCGACAAATCCCCATGAAGAAGTGTTCATATTTAACAACATGATCATTTATTATTATCCGAATGTGCATGATATCCTATATTATGCAGGAACTTACAAGGACTCCAGCTTTTCCAAACTAGCGATGGCTGTAGCTATTTGTCCAGTGAGTTTTCTTGAGCTCAAGTTCCTACAATTTGTATTTTGCAGTTTTAACAGCGTAGTAACATGGTCAAATATAACCCAAGGAAATCTTTTTTGTACATTGTTCAAACCAAATAATCAAGTATATTTTATCCTTGATCTTCAACTTCACGGATCATAAACAAGCAGTAACGTAATGCTGCTTACAAAGAAATTATCCTTATATTATCGCCATAGCTGCAATTCAGACCATCCCATGTTAACTTAGATGGAACACATGGGTCGCCTTGCCAACTGATTCTACAGATCCCATAAATATGCTTGATTTGCATGATAGCATTAACTACATAATTCCAATAACAAACAGAACTAACAAGATTAGAATTTACCACTTTTTAATATGTGTCAGTTTATTGATAACTAAAATCATAGACGAATGATGAAAAAAAATTAACAAAAAGCAATACCATCCAGTGTAGCTGTTGGGAAATTCAGTTGTGGGAGGGATATATAAACTTCAAAAGCATTAAGAATAGGAGGAGCATCTGAAGCAGCTTCTGCTCTAATAATGAAGTTTATATAACCTTCAGTGATCTTGTTAGAACATAGGGTAATAGGCTTCAAGTATTCAAGAGTAAGTTGCTGAGACAAGGAATTATCATCATCAAAAGTGACATTCATAATCCTCTTGTGGCCAGGAGGAAGCTTTTGAATTTCAGCAAAATGAAGGAACAAATAATGTTGGCCAATTGTTTGGGAAAATCAAATTGAGGGTTAAGAGATCCGAATGATTCAGAGGTTGCGAAGAAGTGCGTAATACTTCTGATGGCAGTTTATAAACGGAGTGTTCTGCCTTTACTTCTACATTCGTTTCAAAGGGATCATTTAGATCATAGTAGCTGGACCACAAGCGATCGTACACATCGTCTTTGTACCTGTATTGTCAGGAAAAAAAAAAAGTTGAATAAATGATTAATCGCATGCATATTCATTTTAATAGAGTAGGACATTTAACTTATCAATATACTCAAAAACAAACATGCTTAAACATTAAAATAGATTAAAATAAACTCGTCAACAACACAGATATTCTTGGGCTCTTCTACTGTTGCAGTATATACTGGAAGAGATATACTCTTTTTTTGACAATAAAAAATGGCGTCATTTGCCGACAGCCAATTCATCTTACAATCACATCCATTCCATTTAATGGCAGGTAGATCAGATACCTTGAGATTCTCAAACTTGACCACTATATTCAGACCAGCCTTGCATTCCTCATAGACACGCCAATCGGGGTTGACACGTTCATATCAGACCAAAATAAAATGAGGCAAGACGTAAAAGTCTGTACAAAGTTTTAGGGCCAAAAGAGGAAAGAAAAAAAAAAAAAAAAACCTCGTAGTAGAGGGTGAGAGCCTAAGGCCCACGTCAGCTCTTCCAAAGTCAGCATATAGGGGAAGTGGAGCCGGATAAAGAGAGTTGTTTAATGGCCTTAATTCCAAAGTATTGATGAAAGGCGTGCCTTGTCCTGTGTTTACCAAGCACACATGTAATATTTCTGCATTGCTATCTCGTTGCATTATGATCTCATGGAGTTGGCAAGGCTGATAAAATAAGTAAACAGTGGTCCAGTAATTGACCCCCAGGTAAAGGTCAAAAAGCTGGACCTTGGTTTTTAGAGTCATAATTCCAATATGCAAACAGGACTCTGATTAGATACTTCTGCTCAATCTCTTGCTTTGGGTTTAGAGTGTAACAGTTGCTTCCTCCCTCCGAGAAACTTCTCAGCGTCATTAGCTGTCGTTCACCGGTTAGAAAATTACTAACGCAATTAATGTTTGATAATAATTCATTGGCCGGTGATGATAATTCATAATTGGTTCCGCTTTCAATGAAGCCTTCATCTGTCTGGTCTGAATCCCCGTTACATCATCTACGTAATCTCGGCTTGCTCCACAATCTATGCTGATGAAACCTACGTACACATACATTTGAAAAGCACTTGCTCGGAGCAAGAAACATATAAGTAAAAGATGGAAAGGAAAGCATAAGGTTAAAACTCAAACGCTACCTGAATCACCACCTTCTGCAACTACTGGTTGTGCCAAGTGGCTAGCAATGATGATAAACGAAACAAACACTTGCAAGGCGAGCATCCACAGTGGTGTGCTCTTCATGCTTGAGTTTATGGGAGAGTTCAAGAAGAGAGAAATATGAAGTGGGTAGCTGAAAGGAGTGAGCATACATATATATATATATATATATATCGCAGAAAACATGTTTATGATTGAACTTGGTCTAAAATCTTGCAGACAAAATTAATTATTTGATTCTTATAAAACGTCTTAATTTTTAATTTGGTGTTTTAGATTATTCAACTAATCACATAATAATTATATGGGATAAATTAAAAAGCATCTTTAACCTTCAACCATTTCCTCAAAAGCTTTGGTAATTTAATTGTCACGCCCCAAAATAGAGGGTGACCGGCACGGGTACGAACCATTCTCACATTCCCGTAAGCCTCCAAATGAACATTGATTTCATGTCATTCATTTTTTTTTTCATTTTTTTTTAAATGTTGACATATTTGCAGAAATTTCGGCAGAACCTCCCCTGTAACTAGGATCTCCCGAAAATTCTACAACAAAAATTTTTACATCTAACAGTATAAGTCAGGAGCATAGCTCCTTCCAGCCAGCAACCAATGTACAGGCAAAAATAAGATTCATCAACAACCTATGTGGAGCATCTACTCTTTCTTTCGATTCAAAAAGACATACAATTCATATATTTACATTAAAGTGGCAATACCAATCAAAAGGATCCACCCACTGTAGCTAGTTGCCCCTTTTTGAGGTCGTTGGTGGAATCGGCGTCAGCTAACCAATCTGAGGCCAAATAAATTTTTTTCCAGTGAATAGCATTCCCATGATAAAATTTTTAAAATTTAACTTGACAATCTCTATTAATGGTGTCAAGAAATTGAAAGTAATTTCACCAAAATTTATAAGCATGTAAGTCATAATCATTTTTGTAAAATAAGAATGAAGTGAAAACAATTTATGTTATCGTGCTAAAAGAAGTTAATCTGCTCTCATAAAACTCAAAACAACACCAATTATTTATCAAAATCAGGTAAATTTTGAAAATGCATATTAATTAACATTCAAATTTCTGAGAACTCAGCAGAACAAGTTACAAACGTGAACACACAGCCCACGAGGGTAAGTAACCAAACGCGGCTCAGGCCACGAAATCAAACGCGGGTACGAAGCCCACGAATACCAAACGTGAGAATAAAACTCACGAAACAAACTAGCTAGTATTTAACCACAGCGCGCTACGGGCTAACGAAACTGCCGTTAGCAGCAGTGTTCTGTTTCGAGTTCTCTTAGAAATCCCGTTTCAAACATGCGAGGGAAATAATCATTTTTGAGTTCAAACTTTCATTATCAAGATCAAACTCGCATGAATTACTTCAAATATATGAAACTTGCCAAATCGATACATCATAATGAATGTACAAACTTGTTCTAATCATGTAACTAAGAAAATTTCAAAATTCAATAAGCAAATGTGCTTTCATCAATATTAGAAATATATTTCTTGAGAAAATGCACAAATTATAATGTAACTGTCTTTCATCGTTGTTTCAAAATTTCTAAAACTAACATAATTAATAAAAATGAAATATTTCAATAAAAAGGTTTTTAATAAATAATTATAAGGAATGCTATTCACTTACCTGTTGAAGTTCTAACTCCCGAAAGTATTCTTCTTTTAAGTCTTTTCAGGGTCTTGTTCTTCCACACACCCTATAAAATATAAAATATAAATATATAAAATTTTAATTTATAACACAACCTTCACTAACCACCATTAAAATCTCAAAACCCAAATTTATAATTTAAAGTTAATTCAAGCATTATCATTAATTTCTCTTACTTTCTTCATAAAAATTTAACCATGCCATAATATTTCCATGGAATAGGAGTTTTCTCCCAATCTTTGTATCATTTACCTTAGGTGCATTACTTCTACCTCCTCAATCCTAAGCCTTTAACCATTCACCAAAAATCAAACAAACTCTAAATATACACATGATTGTGTGCAAGCCCATAATTAAATTCCTTTACAAAGCTACAAGAGAATTTCTAAACCAATAATTCCCATCAACAATTAGAGGTCAATTTTTTTTTATCTCCTCATATAAGCCCTTCAATGACATCTTATAGGTACCAATCATATATCCAAGTTTGTCTCTTTCGATTTCAGTCTAGATTTATATATATATATATATACATTTTTCGGTCAAGGCAACAACAGAACACCCACCAAATTTTTTTTTATAATTTTAGTCCTCAAACAGAACTCTCCCTCCCACATAAATTCAGCAAGAAAAGTCCTTAAATTTCTTACCTTAAACACCAGTAATGGCAGAGGCAGCAAAGAAGATAGAATCTACAGCAAAACAGGGGAGAAAAACGGAACTCTCCAGCTGATGCAAGAAACAGAGGGAGACGCAGCACCGTTCAGAAGAAAAGAAAACCAGAGTCAGTGTCGCCTCAGCCTAAACCAGCAGTACCCATTTCAACGACTTAACATGGTGGAACGCTGAGCTCGTACAAGGGAGAATGACGTAGAAACAGGGAAAATCCTAACGGAAATGGAAGGACCAGCCACGAGCACACCAGCGACGATGAGCTACGCGAACGCAGCTCCAGCTACGGTGGAAGGGAAGAAAGCAGTGACCACGAAAGGCTAAGCAAGATTCGTCCAATCTCAGATCTCTCTCTTTCTTCTTCTTTTTTTTCGATCTCCAGCGACCAAGGCGAGAGACGCACCCACAGTCACCGGCCAACGAACACAGCGAGAAAAGGAACGATGAAACTCTCTCTCTCTCTCTCTCGCAGAGCTTCTGCTCTGGAATGACCGAGAAAGAAGAAGGAAGAGTTAAAATATCAGATGAAGCTAAGGGCTGTTTGGTAATTTCGCACGGCCAGCAAAAAAAGAAAATTTTGACTCTGCTTTTGGTCTCTTCCAGATTTGAACTTGGGACCTTATATATGAAAGGTTGCTCAGCTGCCACTAGACCAAGTCTCTAACTTGTTATATTTATCCCAAAAATTAATATAAACACACTTTAAGTAAGTTATCCTATATATATTTATTTATTTAGTTTAAATTTTTGTTGGGGTCATTACATTAATTTTTTCTTCAATATTTAAAAATAGTGTATTTTGGACACCCTTATACTAAACAATGTTTGCTGTGACCGGCATTGATATAGAAAATTACTCAAAAAATTATAGACAACTTTGGACGTATTTTATTATCCCAAAATATAAGATAATTTGAGAAAATTAAGGTTTTATTAATGATATCTTTTTAATATTATCCTTTAAGTAGAGAAAGAATTGAAATGATATTGTCGTGCAATAATTAAGTATATAGGGGCATTTTTGAAGGTTTATAGTTTTCTTTTGAAAAGGTAAATTTGTAAAAGTGTTATTATCAAGTTTTATTGATATGTGTAATCTTGTCTTAAATTGTCTTATAATATAGGATAGAGAGAGTACCTTATAAGAAAGGGTTAAGGTCAAGCTTCTAGTATAAATAGTACATAGGTACCAGTTAATTTTATAAAAAAGGCTAACATTCTTTAATCTATTAAAATACTTTATGTTAACCGTTAAGTTTTAAGAATAGTCATTTTGCAAGATTTAAGTACTTGCTAATGAGCCAATGGCCTTATAACTTAGTGTTGTGTAAACTCCCTTATAAGTGAGAGTTCATAGGTTCAATTTTACTTGTAATCTCAAGCTTGTAAGGGGGGAAAAAAAAGGTCTTGATGACCTTTGCAAGTGCTCCAACAGAACATATTTTAAAGCCATATTTTATAAAACATTAATTTTTAAAACAATAAAATAAAAATAATTTCAAACAAACGTTACTTTTCTAAAACCAACGAGTACGCTGAGAATTCAGGTCTAAAACAAGTGGGGCCATTGCCATGTTGGGTTAAAGATTTTTCAACATTTTAATATCATTGGTTTGAAATTATATGCATAATTGCGTACAATTTGTTAGAGCAATGTCTGGCACGCAATAGCGATGTTGTCATTTGTGACTGCACTAAAAAACATGGTTTCTTTCTCGGGGCGGGGAGAAGGAAAAGATTGACATTAATCGGTTTAATGCCTACAATATTTAACTTTATTCCGATTAGGCAAGAGGGTAAGAATGATTCGTGATTTGTTCAGTTTATTGCTTACAAGTATTTTCTTATTAAAAATACTTATGTTTGAGACACAATTTGACACTATCCATGCTTGGGTACCTTTGCCAATGTAGATTTAAATATTAATTTAACACATTACGAATAACTAATCTTTTTCATTAGACCCAATCTCATTAATTAGAGTTGAGAACAGGTTAAGCTTGGCTCTTATAAAGCCCCTTACGTGCTCATTGTGTTCTTTAATTTTGACCATATTTTGAAGCCAAGCAATTACTCAAATAGCTTAGAACCAGCCCATAAGATCTTTTTCTTAGAAAAATATTTTTTAAAAATAAATTTTAACATTATCACATTACAAACTAATGAAAATTTTCTAAAAATCAAAATAGAAAAAATCTAGACCTTTAATTATATCACAATCATAACTCAAACTTTTACATACTAACTGAAGATACACATGCATAAACTTGCTTGACAAATCAAATAATCAAATCAATAATTTTTTCATAGTATCGCGTACTATCATGAAAACGTTTTAAATAACAATTTCACTGAGGAAACGAAAGGGACATGGAGTCCAAAGCCACACACGTGATCTTAATTTATAAACTAACTTGGAAAATCAATTATAGAAAATTCATGTTTCTTCATTTTTTGAAAAAAAATTTTAATGTTATTTTTTTAAAAAAATTAATATAGGCTTGGAGGGCCATCTAAACTCGAGCCTATTTTTTCACAATGTGTTGAACTTAAAAACTTGATTACATTAAAAGTTTCCAAATTTTCAAGTCTAAATTCTTATAAAATGGACTTAAATGGACGACTTATTAAGCCAACCAGTATTCACAACTTCATTGTTGGTTAATTCATGATTTACTATCATATATCATTACAGGTTTTTTGTATTATACAAACAAGATCCATCTTCCGATCATCACATATAAACAAAGGAAAAAAAAAAAAGGAATGTGTTGATATGGTGATCCTCAAATAAGTCTGATGAACTGTCTTTTTGCACAATATATAAATCTAATTGTCCAATATGATTGGTTGTATCACACTCTAAAAATAGAGGGTGACTGACATGGACGTGAACCACTCACACATTCCCGTAAGCCTCAGAATAAAAATTTATTCCATTTTGCAAAAGAAAAGAAAGAAAATTTATCAAATTACATGAAAATTAAAATAATATATATTATTATTTTTTTAGCTAATTGTCATAAGAAAGTGTAGACGTTTTTGTAAAAATTTTAGCAGAACCTTCTTGTAATTATGATCTCCCGAAAATTCTACAACAAAAAATTTTACAAATAACAGTATAAATCAGGAGCGTAGCTCCTTCTAGCCAGCAACTAATATACAACCCAAAATAAAGTCTATCAACAATCTATGTGGAGTATCTACTCTTTCTTTTAAATAAAAAATGATATACAAATTATATATTTACATTAAAAGCAACAATACCAATCAAAAATTTTCACCCACTGTAGCTAGTTTGCCCTTCAGAGGTCAAGGTAGATTAGCATTAGCTAACAAATCTGAAGCCAAAATAAGTTTTTTAATGAATAGCATTCCCATTATAAAATTCTTAAAATTTAAATCAATAAACTCTAATAATGGTGTCAATTAATTAAAATTATTCCACAAAAATTTATAAGCCTATAAGTCATAACCATAATTGTAAAATATGAGTAAGTTGAAAACAATTTATGTTATCATGCTTAAAGAAAATAATTTACTCACATATAACTCAAAGTGGTAAAATTGCTAGCCAAAATCATGTAAATTTCGAGAACACATTAATCAACATTTAACATTTTGAGAACTCAACAAAACAGGTCACAAATGTGGATACACAGTCTACGAGGGTAAATAACCAAACGCAGCTTATGCCACAAAAACAAATATGGACACACCAATCAACGAGGGTAAGTAACCAAACGCAGCCGAAGTTACAAAATAAATGTGGACACACAGTCCACGATGGTAAATAACTAAATATAACTCAGGCCATGAAATCAAACATGAGTACAAAGCTGTAATAACTCAAGAATTTTAAGTAAAAATTATATTAAAAAAAGTTAATATATAGTATTGTATTATAATTGTAGTTATATTAATTTTGGTATAGTTTTGACAAGAAGGAATGTTGGTGTAGTGGAAGTGTGCATGTAATGCACTCATTTGGTCCCAAGTTCGAACTGATAGAGGCCAAAAGGAGAATTACTTTTGCAATTTTTGACTCTGTAAAATTACCAAAATGCCCTTCGCTAAATCTGATATATTCCTCTTCTTTCTTTCTCTTTATCAGATCCGTGCATGCTAGTCGGTGGAGAGAGAGCTTGAGGATTTTCCAGAATCTTCGAACCCTCGTCCGGACTTCTGTCCTCCGCCATCAGCTCTGTATTCTACTGGTCGCCGTTGACTCCATAAACGCTGAAGTCTTCACCGTGGGAAAGGATAAATGGGCTAGTAGTGCTCTCCTCTGTTTTGCGTCATTCTCCCTTATCGTCTGTAAAACCTTGCAAGTAACTCGAGCTTCCTCATCATTTTTTTTAGTCTGTAGCTTGTGGTTATGAGCTCGCTAGTGTGCTTGTCATTGCTGTTGTCTCATCCGCCCTTGATCAACAAAAACATGACGTCTTCCTCCTCCTCTGTTCCAGATCAATTTTTTTCCTTTTCTTCATCATTGGCGTGGCTGAGTAGGTGAATAGGAGAACTTATTTCTTTTATTCTGCTTGCTCAGTCAATCACTGGTTTGCTCATCTCTTTTCTATGCCAACAGCGATCTTCCTCTCTTTCACTGTGTAGACGAACATTCTCTCCCCCCTCTTGGTTTGCGTGTTGTTAGTTTATCCAAGGTGAGAATCTTTGATCTCTTCTCCTTAGAAAATTCTGTGTGTGTGAGATGGTGAAGGATAGAGTTGATGTTGCAATTTTATTTTCTTAAGCCCTGCTGCTGCCCATGACCTTATATGGCTATATAAGAAGAGGAAGCTTGATTTTAAATTGACATTAGTGGTTATATAAGGAAGGAGTTAACAGTATGGAATTGAGTTTGTAATTAAAAATAATTGAATTATGATATTGAAAGGTTTAAGGAAGCTGAAATTTTGAAAGAAAATGTTAATATTAGCTTGATAACTTATGCTCATATAGTGTTTGATAAAATGTCCAAGAAGAGAGTTGGCTTGGATTTGCATTTTTGAAATTTAATTAGTCTTTGTGAGAAGTATGCTAGTATGAAAAATTTTGGATTTACAAATTGACTTATAGATTGTAAAAGAATTTAAATATGATTTTTTTTATGAAGCCATTTAAATTCTTGGGAATTGTAAGGTTATTAGTAAATTGTTGGGTGTTTAAATTGAATTGGTAGAAGTAAGGCACCTAAGGCATTCGGTGCAAAGCTTGAGAGAAAATTGTGTTTCAAGGAAATAGATTGGCATGGTTAAAATAAGTTAGAGGAGACTAGTGATATGGATAATAATACTTCGATCAACTCTAAGGCATGAATTTTCGTTTTGGAAATTTAAATGATGGCGGTTGGTTGAGATTATGTAATAGATAAAAAAAGTTATTAAAAGGATATTTATTT